GTTCTTCTGGGTTGTAATGTCATGTAGTCTGGCAGAAGTTTACTAACATTTAAGGGGTCCTTTCTGCCTCCATCATCAGGGCAATGATTAAGCGCAACTCAGAAGACACTCACCACCGACGCAACCTAAAATCTCACTTATACAAAAGCAGCCACCATCACAGAAACACATGACTAAATAGTATAATTATGTCACAATTCCTGCGAGCATCTCTATGTCAGTGGAAGTGTCTCAAGATCAATAGGAGTCTTATTTCTGTCCAGATCTTACTCTTTTCTTTGGGCTACCATTAGCAGCTGTTTCACCTATTCATCATACAGTACGCGTGTTCTCACCTCGGACGATTCACAAGGCAGTTCGTTCAGCTTCCGCTACTCAGATCAGCCTGCTCCAGCGACCTATTGGAGCTATTCCAAAAAAGACTGCACGCGGCATATTGAGTCTGACCGGCACCTAGCGCCTCGTCACTAGGGCAAACGAGATTAATACCGGTACTGTAAGGACTCTCTGGGATTTTAAAACCTTGCATACCGTGCAATGTATTGGCATATAAAATCATGCATACAAACAAAACTGTTTATAAGATGACATAGTTGCGTCATATTGTGAAATTATATATTTAATTAATTAATCTTGTCCGTCTAATCACGCACATATATAGAACAACTTCAAATATATTAAAATGGAATCTGGAAGTGAACATCACTATTAACTGATAACCACAAAAAAGTTGCATATAAGAAATTATGATTAAGTTTTAAGTTTATACAATTGTAATTTTATACACCTGAAGATGGTTCATCTAAGAACCGAAACATGTAGCGAGAAAGTGATGCTCTAAATGTAAAATCGAATGTTTCGACTAAGTGTCTTGTCAAAGTGTAAACAGTTTTGTTTGTATGCATGATTTTATATTTCTTGGATTTTGATATTCTCACAGCGGTGATAATGTCTGCGCTATCTTTTAAAATACCGTGTGACTTGTTGGTAGATACTAATGTACATCCTCTATCTTCAGGGTTGAACTGACTTTTTATACGGCAGGCCCGAGAAATATGGAAAATGCAAACAATGTTTTGGTCGAAAAACTTAAGTGGAATAGAACACTTGGAAAACGTAGGTGTATACAGGAGTATAATACTAAAATGTATCTTAACGAAATGGAGCGGACGGCTGTGGGCTCGATTCCTAAATTTATAACTAACTCCATTTGGCAGAGTCATTTAGAAGCCAGCAGTTCAGCTTGTCAAGAAATTTTAAGCCTTTTTATGGAAGACGACGGTCCATTATCATATTCACAAAAGCCCACCACTCAGATGACGACTTAAATCAAAATAGATTGCACATCTGAAGGTACGCCGGAGGCTTTGGTTTAAATATCCGCCCGGAAATCGTCTATACAGCCTGACCATTTTCGCGGGTTACTTAAATACGTAATGGTAAATTCCGGGATACCGTTTTGAAACCTTTTCTTTACATAATGCCTGCCCAGTTAATCATTTACAGTGTCATTCATTATAATTGGATGCTATATAAACTATGCCCTTGAAAAACCATCGTTAAATAAAGCAAGATTATTATATACAGGTCTATGCTTGACGAGAAAGTTATCCGAGGGTGCTGCCCTGTTCCATTCACAAACAAAAAATAAGTTTACAGTATAATATGCCTCGCGTATGGCATCGTTCCAATGGTTTTATAAAAACTCTCTTTAAAAATAAACTCACAGACTCAGCACGTCTGTGGAAGGTATAGCTGTCGCCGAGTAAAGAAAATCACTTCAAGTTTACGGATTAAGGAAATCTAAACCATGACTTATTACAACAGTGAAAGTCATTCTAAAATTATCAATACCTTCCACTTAATTCAGGAACAGACTACGACCATCTAATCGTCTTTGACTACTGATAAATCGCGGTGCATAAAATTAACGCATTCATCAATGTCAAGGGACCAATAAACATAGGAATCGAATAGATCTTAATTATCTTCAAAATGTCTCCTCGTAAAAAATCCTACTTACACGTCGAAAAACACAGGATCCACTTATCTATAAAATACATCTTAAACATCACGTTATACAATGCACATTAGACGCTAGACGTTGTTTCTTTAGGAAATAAATATAAATAAAATATTGTTAAACCCCATATTTTTCTAAATGAATACCACTCTCTTCCAACACAAAGTTGTAAAATGTACTATTAGCATATCAAAAGTTAGGACTTCAATAATGGAGCTTAATATCAATACAAACATTTGAACAGAAAAAAACAAACAAACACGTTAAGATCTATACTCAATTCAAAGACCCTTTGTACAGTCATAAAAGTGTTAACATTTTTAAAGAACAGCCACAAATTCTAAGACCAAGATCTAAAAAAACAACCAGGAATTTAACTATATTAACCCCCTTTAGAACAAAACTACAACTGACTATTACAAAATGTTACCACAGGGTGGTAAGGTTTAACACGTATTTTACTAAAACTTTTAAACTAGTTTCCACAGGATGAATTTTTGCATTTCTTTACACAGAAGAAAATGACACTCTTATCAATCAGAGTTACATGGCAGGCATTCTTATTCTAATAAAAACCCTCTATTTCCAAATACATATCTCAACAGTATTTAAAACCTTTCTAAAACACCATTTATTCTTTTGTCAACTGAAATTACAAGAACACCTGATAACATTGATTTATTATTACATTACATTATTAGAATTTTTAATCCAGACAAGCCTGCCCCAACTATACATAAAATTCTAGTAACTAACGCACGATCCACAAACAAAAACACGGAAGAAACTGATTTAAGGTATCATTATCTCTTCATTTGTCTGGAAATAACTGAGGAAAACGACGAAAAACTTCTGTTAGGCCGAGACTCTTGGGTTCATATACGGAAAAACATAGGAAAAACTACAGCTGAAAAGGCTGTGAAGATCAGAAACAAGAGACTGTCTTTTAAACTTAGTCACGAACCTTCCGATTCCATAAAAGCAAATATCATCTTTACCAGCTGCAAAACTGTAAATTTCTCAAGGAAAAATCTACCGCTGAATCAATAAACTATGTTGTTACGTTGTGGCACACACGTCCACGTGTGCTCTTGGCTCTGGCCGCTTCACAATGTGAACGTATGTATCCACATTTATAAGTGAGAACTTTGTCTCTGACGACAGTAAAGTTGGCGATGGACCCACATCTTAATGTTGGACAAGAACCACAGTGGGTCTTCATGCTTAGAACTGAGGGAAGGCGAAGACATTCAAACACATCGCAAAGGATTCGGATGGACTCGAAACCGAGACCTTCTGCATTGTAAGCCAATTGTTCTACCAGTAAATCATAAGCCTACAATTGACTAACGCTATGGATTTCAACTTGGGAGGTGACCTCTTCGAATTTTATACGGGCTACAGAGGGTTATTAGTAATTTTGTTCGGTATCAATATTTAGAGCTGAATGCCGGGGCAGTTGTCTGAAACAGGCCACGACAGTCTCTTTCAAAATCCTTACCTGTTTACCATAATCGTTTTCGCATTTAACTCGAATCTATACAGTTGGAACACCGTCGTTAAATAACCTGACAATGAAGATGAAAGTGGGAATCAAAGCCTCATAAGCAGCACACAAAGATGGACGGGAATGTAGCACGACTGGAGAGATCATAATTTATATTTCTTTATTGTTTACTTGAAAACGCTATCAATAGTTCGGATTACACAGCGTCGAGAGAAATGATAAATGCATACAAAATTTTAGTCGGTAAACCTGAACGGAAGCGACGACTTTGGAGACACGGACTTAAATGGAAGGATAACATTAATGTGGATCTTAAGGAAATAAGGCCTAGAGTGTGACTGGATTAATTTGACTGAGATACGGTCCAGTTGCGGGCTCTTATGAATGTGGTAATAAATATATGTTATATAAATGCGACGAATATTTTGACCTGCTCGGGAGCTATCATCTTTTCAAGTATTCTGCTCCATGAAATCGGTTATTTTCAAAATTTGTTCGGCACAAACTACCGCTGATACGACAAAAGCAGTCACCTTACGGATACGTACCAGACAAGTCAACCGTGTGTACGCATGCGTGATAGAACAAGACGGACGAGACCCTGTAAGATAACAGGGCACATGCCATAAGGTCGTCGACCAGAAGCGTTCCTGTGTGCTCAGTACCAGACAAAATGAGGCCGACAGGCTGTACAAAAAGTTCTGACTCTATAACGCAAACCATATGCAGATTCGCAGTTTTTCTGTCTTTTGGGTTGTGAAGACTGAAGAAATACATTCCTCCGAAACGTTGCTAACTTTATGTAGTCACAACCCGCAAGACAATATTCGACATCTTGACCGTTGACTTAGAAGAAACAACCTGGGAGATCTAGGAATATATGGCTGTGCAGATATGCATCGAAATGAACACGACAGCTGAGAATTTCTTGGACAGCTGACCAGTTCTCAATTGCTGAAGGCAGGTCCTGTGCCAAGGGCACATGACGTAAATCGAAAAATCAAAATGACATCCGAGTAGAAAGGATAATAATTTGACACACCTGGTCGGACCCGTTCTGTGCGTCTGGTAGCCAGTTACGCCATCACCGTTAACAAAGCGAATTGCTAACAAGACGGAAGGAAGGCAATGAATCACTAAAAGCCCACACACAACCGTCAACCGTCTGCGTCAATGTCCCTGTGAGAAATAGTTTTCAATTGCTCACACCAAGGAGCAGAACGAAGGAACAGCGTTTCGACTGACTTGTAAGTAATCAGGGCATGTTCGGTTAGAGTTCCGTTCGAGCACCGGACATCCTAACAACCTTTCCCCAGTCCTCGCATGCGAATTAAGAGACTGAATCACTCTTACCTTATTTAACAACGCTTTTCAGCTCCAATGGCTATGTCAATGTCGAATGGTAGGCAAAATATTGTTCTGAGGAATGAGCTAATCCCATGCCTGCCACGATCTCCTGACATTACGCAGGTAGAATTATTCTCTGGATTTATGTAAGAACGATTATTTTCTTAGAATATTTAACAGCATTTTTCAACTGTGTACGTCACATCGCGCAGCAAGGCTGAATTACTGCGATCGAGGGAATGGAAATGACATGAATGTAAACCATCGCCTGTAGGACTATAAAACAGGGCGTCGGGCCCGAGACCCGAGAGGCATGACACGGATAAAGCAACCTGGACGTAGAACTGGCCCTCTCAAATACAACCACCACAGGGATTGAGGATTCGGCCTATTCATTGACGGCATTGTGTATTTAAACAAGAAAGATTTTACTTCAGTGATAAAACCTCTTATCAGTGGCGTGAGTTCAGAGCAGACGCGGCTAATCGGTCGAGCAACTCTAGTGCCACTTACCCGCTGTCATTACCTGGTGTCCTACGATTTGCGTGGGTGAAGCGGAAATATCAAACTGGCTGTTTGCATGGCGCTGTCCTAGGTTACAGCGAATCAGTCAAGAGAGTAAAGCGGCCGGATTCCGAGATCAAATATTTTGATATTTTCGCGCGAATCGCAGCGCTGGCCGGGAAGGCGCATGCGCAGATAAGCTCTGACTGTGCAGTACAGGGAAGGCGCATGCGCAGGAACACCGTGTGTGTCTCTCACGTAGGACACAACAAGCGATTCCCTTATGTCATATGACACCGCATGCTGCTTATGCAGCTCGCACTGCTCGCTTCTTATCGCTTACGTAGGACATTGCCTTATTCGCCGTAAGTCTTAACACACTTCACTTCCTTGGCTGGTTAAGAGCACAAATTATGTGAGTGTCCATCAATCTGTTAATTCTTCTTTCGTATGTCCATACCTAGTCATATACTGTTAAGTTTCCAAACTTCTATTTCGGATTATATATAAAAAACGACAGGTGCAAAGAGTGCCAGACGGCAGATGGCTCAAACAAGTGCTGGAGTGGATTCTACCATCAAGAAGAGAGCAAAATCGAGGGCTGGATGGGCGAAGACGATGCAATGACACAGACAGAAGTGGAAGAACGGTGAACGGGTGGAAAGGAATGGCGACTGGGAATCTGAAGATGTAAATGACGTTAATAAACAGATGCATATAGGCCTACCTGTGTACTGTGTTTCGTTTCTTGGTACCAACTAGATGCTATGTGAAGCTCTGAAACCAGATCTCACGTGTGAACTGTCAAAAGGCGAGATGAGAAACATTCCTACAGCATGACACTTACTGGCTTGTATTTGTCTTCACCCAGAAGCTTCCATTTCAAAAAAAAAAAAACTTCCACTGAAAGGTTGTGTGCGTTTGGTTCACTAGGGCATGACGAAGACTGTGACCACATCAACTTCAACTGATAAATACAGGCATTTCAATAACAAGCCCCGCCCCACATCTTGGAATAACAACGTGAAAAACGAATATTTAAGTTTTTGAAAATTATTTCTTGCTACGTACTGTCACCATCTTAGAAAATATGCAACAGATATTAATAGACGTTCCTCCATTACAGACAGTAAAATATTTATCCATGTTGTTCCGAGGTTCCTATGTTCACTTTTACAAGAGGAAAATCATTTCAGAAAATATTCGATTTAAGAGTTCATTACAGGATCATTTCAAATGCGAGTTATGTGTTACGGTGTGTATTTCCATAGACAACACAAACCAGCTTATAACGAAGTCTCGATGGACCTGAAACAAATCTGACGAGGCTTTCTCAAACAAGAGGAAAAAAGTTGTTTTTTTGTCCTCAACCCCTCCCCCCCAAGTTTTACCTGATGAAAAAAAGCAGAATACAGCTTTCGGAATGTCGTGTATTTTACAATTTTGTAATTTCGACGATGGACAGAGTCCAAAAGAACTTAACGAACCATAATCAGATACCTTTAAACTTCGACCATCCAGTGCCTTATTTAGACATCTTTCACAGCACTTCTAAAAATGTCACTAGGCTCCCGATGCAAATAACAAAACTGCACAATGCCAGAACAATTCGGCATACTTCATACATTACATCAGTCAGGTTTCAACATCTGGGTCTTGCACAACCATTTAACAACTCAACATCTAAGGTATAAACAATCCTCGAATTATAAACCCACACTTCAGTCAGTCTTTCACGATCGCCTGTAGCTCCTGGTGCGCCATTAAACAGTGGTATCGCTTGTTAGAATACTGTTCGCATAAAATGTCCCAAATGTCCCTCGCAATGGTGTGCCCCCCCCCCCCAATTCAAGGCATCCCACATCTTGTTTCAACAAAACCTCTACTACAAACAAGGTCCTTATCGGGCGTCGGTGTCAAGACGAGCCTCAGTGTACAAAATACAAATACAAGGAAAATAAGACTGTCACAACAAATTACCGACCTGCTGCATAACATTCAAGGTACCCATTCTTCCTACAAACTATTATCTTACTTCTTCGTTAAACAACGCTTTATCAATTACACAGGTCATACACATAGCGTTACGTAAGAGAATAAATGAGAATTATGAAATAGTCCTACTTTAACAAACGCCTTCCATTCCAGCATTTATCTAGAGAAGCTGAATAAAACCATAAGAAAACTCTCTAGCCAGTTTTGAAGCATCGCCCTGACGATGGAGGCAGCAAGGACAAATGAAATGTTGGTAAATCTTCACCAGACTACACGGCGCTGCAACCCAGATGACAACCATCTTCGTACTCACAGCCGTAAGAACCTCAAATCCCACTTAAGAAATCATTAAATATGGACAACCCTGGTGTGTACATAAATAGAAAAAAAAAAGAAGAGCTTCCCTAATCTGAGAAGCCGGCGTGTCAACTGTTTCCCCACTTCCTACTTGTGTTCTGTTCTCCAATGATAACTTCTTAAAGGTCTCGTAGTCCCTCCCGGCGTCTTACGAGAACAACAAGTGGCCTTACAACAGGATACAGATGATTAAATTACGAGGGGCCGCGTGCGAAGTCTGTTTTATCCTCATCAAATTTTATTACAATGACTAAAACAAGGAAGACTGCTGGAACGCGTAGAATGCAAGATGATGAGTACTGTGCACAAACTATTGGTCGGAAAACCTCCTTGAGAAGCCGACCACGCACCACGAATTAGTTCCTCATTCACCAAATAAGAAACGTTTGTAGGATTTGAGGTTTTCACGGCGGCGAGCTTGCAAATGCCTGTCCTCTGGGCATTCGTGTTAAGTAACTAAGGAAAATCGTAAGAAAAAACAGCCAAGACACGAGGTAATCCTATGAGCCTCACCGAGTACCACCCGTATAAACAGCAACACAACCCTGCTTTACTCCCCGTCAGAAAACACACACATTATCCGTCATAAGAATACCTTCAAGACCAAAAAAAGACGGAAAACTGCAAAGAATGCATTTGGCAATTCCGTGTGTTTCGATTATTGTTTCACGAAACAAAATGGGAGGTCAAGTATGACGCACAAGCTATCATTTGGTCACCCCTGCTGTTTCTCTCAGGAAATGAAATGCGGATGAGATTTATCGGCTTGTTTAATATCCCACTGCGTCCGGAACATGTCATACGCGCTACAAATCACCAGCCGTCAAAAAAACCACACATCTGTACTAACCAATTCCGTCCCCGCGCCCTCAGACATATCGATGACAACAACCAGTTTCAACGACAAAATCGAAATCAGCGGCGAACAAGTGAGGGCACTGACAAAGAGAATTGTTAACTAACCATTAAGTAGCTATAAACATTACGTTTATCAACAGAAAGATGGCATTGGCGAGGTATGTAGAACGCATTCGAAAGACAAGAACTGTATAAGTTTTGGTCAAAACACAAGAGACAACTTGGAAGTTTTAGATCGGGGTGTGATGGTCTGGGTTGCATGCGACTCGCGATAGTGACAATGGCTAACATTTTTCGACTAGGTGAACGACTATCAGCGTCTCTCGGAGGTCTCTGCTCCATGGAGTTAGTCACGTAGATCCAAAAGTTGGTATGTGGCCAAAATATTTCGCATTTTTGCGAAAAAGTCCCTTTTCCTAGAAGTGGTAACCCTCGTCTAGTAAGAGATTCCTCAAAGACGCCAGAAGGCTCCCTCAGCACTCGGTACATTACAAACACCTTTGTTGTAACAGGTAAGCCCCCGGGCCACCTCGATTGTCCTATCACAATGTGGGCCAACGATATTCTCCAAAGAAGCCATCTTCCTTATTTATACCGAAAACTATCAGGATGGAACAGAGGAATATAATGAGTTTCCGCTTCCAATTTTAATGAATACGACTGTCTTCTGTTATGTTACGCCATGTGTGATGGAGACAGTAAGAACCTCTAAATCGTCGGTCAATTTCTAAAGAACTACACAGCGCAACATCCCAGAACCAGTCATCTTCAAACTCCCCGGCATAAACACCTAAAAATCTTACCTAATTTACATAAAATCGCAAATAACCAAAAGTGCAATCGAGTTGATTTAAACCAATGAAAAGAATTACGTTTATGAATAACAGTGATACATCAAGTTCCTAACACGTGAGTAATCCTTACAGTAATTAAGTTGACGCTTTGGTAAGGACATATGAATATGCCTGATTATTATTTTGTAACCTCGTAATGATTACTGATGCCAAACACATTCGGTAAAAAAAGCACTATCTTCACTACTTCACAATCACAACAGCCAAAACACAACCGGCGACTACGAAGCGAGAGACTCTCGACTGAACGTCTGTCCGCGTTGGCACAACGCAATACAATGACTGCTTACGAGAAGAATGCACAGCCAAGCTGGATACATGCATAAGCGGGTTTAGTGCGTGTTCATACCCACGAGAACCTGGCGAATGTCTGACAACGCAGAGCAAACCTTCCGAGATCACACAATAAAAACATCTGCTTTCTGGGACACGAGAATAATCAACGTGATTCGACACTACTCGATACATTAAGATAAAATTCAGTATGGGGGGGGGGGGGATAAAAAAGTATCACCGATAATTTAATTTTTGTTCGTATGGGCCTTAAACATATCTTCTAAAGAAATGCCCATCGCAAATTCATACGTAAAGAACACGTGTTCTCAAAATGGCTACATAAATAACTCGTGGCACGATGCTGGAAAAATCTGCATGAGGAGCTGAATAATTTCTACTCTTTATCAAATATTATTAACATGATCAAATCAAGGAGGATGGGGTGGGAGGGGCATGTAGCGCGCATGGGGAGATGTGAAATGCGTAAAGCATTTTGGTGAACAGCCTGAAGGTTAGAGACGACTTGGAAGATCAAGGTGTATAAAAGACGGCAATATTAAAACATATCTTACGGAATAGGGTGAGGGGGTGGATTGGACTCATATGGCTCAGGATATGAACCTGATTTTAAAGAACAGCTCCTTATCTGGATCGTCATTAACGAGCTATACAGATCTTGTCCACAGACCTGGTTGTATGTCCGTTCCGTACACACTAAT